AAACAAGGTGTGCTTGGACGTAGCGAAGCAGCTGAAATAGATGGAGCAGTAGGGGAGGTCGATGGACAGTGGCGAATAAAATCAGCTGCTCGACGTTGAGGTGATACAATGGAAGCCATGGCTGCCTGTGTTGATGAGGCAGAAGTTGGACGAGGAAGCAGTGGTCGACGAGCAGCGGCGACAGAGTTGGAAGAAGCAGTCGCGACAGCAGCCATGGCGGACTCCTGTTTTTGGAGGAGGAAATGACGCAGTGACAGTAAGTGAGAAAGAAGAAGCAGTAGGGTCAGTAGCAGCTGGAAGAAGGAAGATGGCGATGAAGAAAGCTGGAGCAACGACGCAGCAGCTATGGAAAAGTAATGGAGCGGCATCGCGAAGGTCGTTTGGTTGAAGGAGGAAGACGACGCAACAGTGTGTGTGTGTGCCATGAGTGTGTGTGTGTGTCGTGAGTGAGTGTGTGTGGCGTGAGGGGAAGGAATGAAGCCATTGATGGAGCTTGGTGAAGCTTGAGGAAGAAGATGGAAAAAGGAGGGGGGTGGCGGATTGGTTTCTTAGTTTTTAGGGTTTTTGTTTTTTTTTGTTATTTTTTGTTTTGTTTTGTGTTTTGAAAAAATGAAGAAGGGTGTTGGGTATTTGGACTGGGTCGACCCAGTTCGAAATGGACTGGGTCGTTTGGGAAGATTGGGTATTTTTGGGCTTGTAGCTTGAATTTGAAGAAAAGACCCAATTCCGAATTTTTGTATTTTTGTTTTCTTTTTTCTTCTTTTATTTATCTAAAACTAAATTATAAAATACTTGAATTATTATTAAGAACTAAATTAAGTTATACAATCGCAAATTAACTCTCAATAACAATTAACGCACAATTAAGTAATAATTAAGCATAAAATTGTATATTTTGGACATTAATTGCTAAAAATGCAAACGATGCCTATTTTTGTGATTTTTATTTTTTGTAAAACAAACTTAATTACTAACAATTGTAGGATTAAATCCTACATGCAAAATGCGACATATTTTTTGTATTTTTATTAATTTAACAAATAAACATGCACAGACAAATACAAATAATTATTCAAAATATCACAAAATTGCACACCAAGAAAAATGAATTTATTTTTGAATTTTTTTTTGGGAGTAATTCTCATACAGGGCAAAAATCACGTGCTTACATGGAGCTTCAGGACACATGTGTTTTGATTCAAATTCTTTCCTTAGTTTGACACCTCTTCTAATTCCTTTACACATTAGCTTGCCTAATTCCTTTCAATTACATGTCACACATATTGGAAGTGTTTGCATTCAGCCTGATATGACACTTAACAAAGTTATTTATGTTCCCTCTTTCAGATATAATTTATTGTTTGTTCATAAGTTATGTGTTCAGTTCAGTTGTTCTTTGAATCTCACTTCTAGTGCATGTCTGATGCAGGTCCCTTTAATGAGGAAAGGACAAGTTTTTGGTGAAGTGAGAGATGGTTTGTACCTGCTCCAGCCAGCTAGTATAAAGTCTAGTTTTCTACCTAATCAAAGTGTGGTTTCAATTCCAAAAGGAAGCAATTCCACCCTAGTTTCTAGTCATGTTTCTCTTTCAAAAGCTATGTGTGCTAATGCTATTTCAGATGTAAAGGATTGGCATGTAAGGCTTGGGCATTTACCCTTTCAAGTAATGAAGAAATTCAGTTTCATTCATTTTCCCTCAGATTTTGATTATGTGTGCAATGTCTGTCCTCAAGCTAGACAAACTAGGATTCCTTTTTCTATCAGTCAAATCAAAACATGTGGTGTTTTTGATTTTTTCATATTGACACTTGAGGTCCTTTCAATAACACAACATATAATGGATTCAAGTATTTTTTTTAACCATTGTGGATGCTTATAGTAGGGGAACTTGGACTTTCTTGTTAAGTTCAAAGAGCAATGCATTTTCAGTATTAAAATCTTTTCTAATCATGGTGGAAAGACAGTTCAACAAGAAAGTGAAAAGGATAAGATAAGATAATGCACTAGAATTGGGCACAGGTACACAAGAATCCAGTTTTTTTACTTGAACAAGGAATCCTGCATGAGACTTCTTGTGTTGCTACACCCCAACAAAATGGGGTGGTTGAAAGGAAACACAGACATCATCTTGAGGTTGCAAGAGCTTTGATGTTCCAGTCTAATGTTCATCTACGATACTGGGGTGAGTGCATTTTAACCTCTATTTATTTGATCAATAGGTTTCCCTCTAGAGTTTTAAAAGGAAAAACACCTTATGAGGTTTTGTTTGGTAAGCCACCTACTTATAAGCACCTGAGATCTTTTGGGTGTTTGTGTTATGTGTCCACTTTGAGTCACAATAGATGGAAGTTTACTCCCAGGGCAACCAGTTGTGTTTTCTTGGGTTATGCTGCTCATCAAAAAGGCTATAAGGTGTTGGACCTATCAAACAAAAGAGTGTTCGTCTCTAGAGATGTTAAATTTCATGAAACTCATTCTCCTTTTCTTACTTCTACTATGCCTTCTGTTCTGCCCTATTTTCCTTCTACCCCTTTCATACCTGATACTCAAGTCCCTGCAACACCTATCATAACCCCAGACTTATCTCCTTCAAGTCCTTCTTTCACCCTAGACAGTTATCCTTCATCAAGCATTCCCACTCCCACAACACCAATTGTCCAACCAGCTGAACACAATTCAGTTTTTTCACCTCACATAAATCTTCAAACTCCTTCACACAACTCTTCATCAACCTCCACCTCTCCCTCTACTTCCTCACCTACACCTGCTGTTTTAATTCCTGCTCCACCTCCAACAATTAGAAAATCTGACAGGGTCAGTAAACAACCAGTCTGCTTACAGGACTATGTCTGCAATTCCGTCATTCTTTCAAACCTCACTTCTACCTGTTTCACTCATCCTGCCCAGCCTAATGTTTTCTCTTTTGGGGCATTATCCATCACTAATCAAAAACTCTACCATTCCTTGTCCACCATCTCTGAACCTAACAGTTTTGCTCAAGCTTCTAGTCACCCAGGGTGGAAACAGGCCATGGAAGCAGAGATTGCTGCACTTGAATTGAACCACACTTGGGATGTGGTAGATTTTCCACATGGGAAAAGAGCTTTACCTTGTAAATGGGTATACAAGGTAAAACATAATTCTGATGGGACTATAGAGAGGTTAAAGGCAAGACTTTTGGTTAGTGGAGACATACAAAGAGAAGGGATAGATTATTCTGAGACTTTCTCTCCTGTGGTTAAAATGACCACTATTTGATGTCTATTGACAGTAGCCGTCAAGAAGGTATGGAAGGTCTCACAACTTGATGTCAATAATGCATTTCTACACGGAGAACTACATGAGGAGGTATATATGAAATTTCTTGCAGGTGTTTTCCCTTCTAAACCTGGTCAAGTTTGTCTTCTAAGAAAATCACTCTATGGTTTGAAGCAAACATCTCGCCAATGGTATGCTAGACTTGCAGGGGCTCTAAGTTATGAGGGTTATTCTAGTTCATTGAATGATTACTCTTTATTCTACAAACAAACAGGTGCCCTATCATCTATTATTGTTGTCTATGTAGATGATATACTATTAACAGGCGATGATGTCACAGAAATCACACAGATTAGTGACTTCCTGAGCACAGAGTTCAGAATCCAACATCTAGGGGACATTCATTATTTTCTGGGCATGGAAATTCTAAGGGAAAAATAAGGTTTTATCATTAGCCAAAGACAATTTACCTTGGATTTGTTGAAAGAGTTTGATTGTACAGGGGCAGCTGTGTCTTCTCCACTTGATCCTTATGCAAAGCTTCATGCTGACCTTGGGGCTCCTATGAACAATCCAACCATCTTTTTCCACCTTGTTGGTAAGCTGAATTACCTCACAAACACTAGGCCGGACCTCTCCTTTGCTGTCTTATGCCTTAGTCAATATATGCAGCAGCCTACTTTCCCACATTTCTCAGCAACTCTACGGGTCTTGAGGTATCTACGTTCAGATCCTTCTCAAGGGATTTTTCTATCCGCAAATCCCTCTTTTGATTTGCTAGCCTTTTGCGATGCCGACTGGGCATCCTGCAGAGATTCTCGTAGATCTGTGAGTGAGTTCTTTGTCACACTTGGTGGAGCTCCAATTTCTTGGAAATCCAAAAAGCAGGTGTTTGTGTCTCTTTCCTCCGCAGAAGCAGAATACCATTCCATGCGCAGAGTCACAACTGAGATAACTTGGTTAGTTCGTCTCCTTGCCGATCTCTCTACACCGGCGACTCTCCCAGTACCCACTCACTCTGATAGTCAAGCGGCTATCCATATCGCCAAAAATCCCGTTTTCCATGAGCGGACAAAGCACGTGGAGTTAGATTGTCACTTCGTCCGTCAACAATTCCTTTCTGGGATCATCACTTTATCTTTTGTTCCATCGGCACAGCAGCTCGCCGATATATTTACCAAACCCTTATCTGGGGCTTCTCACCGGGCTATAATGAACAAGTTGGGGGTACTCTCTCTACCTCCAACTTGAGAGGGGATGTTGACATAGAAAACCCCCATATGACTGAGGATCGTTTTCACTCTCTGAAGAAGAAAGATATTCTATCTGATGAAAAAGTAAAGATCAAAGGGAATGAGAGACAAAGAGCAGAGTGTTTTCGGAGTCAACAAACACACGTGGCTCAATCTCAGCCTTAGAAGTAAAATAATGGCCCTATTCTCTCAGCCGTTAGATATGAGGAAAGGCAGCTGTATATTAGATTTATTCTAGAAAGATCCAAGTATGTGCTTGGCACATGTGTGCACATAGTAGGGAATAAATCTATTATACAGTAATAGTACAATTGCCAAGCATGTGCTTGTCGCATGTGTGCACATAGTAGGGAATAATTTGTTATACAATTACAGTACAGTGAATAGGAATAGTACAAGTATAAATAGGATTTTATTTTACACTTTTCTTTTGTAGCAATTACTTGTATATATTCAACATTGAGTGATGAAGACAGTCAGTGGAAAATTCTCACATTTCACAGTCTTTTTCTTTCATCCTACAATGTTAGTATTATTGTAATCTTTATGAAGTATTATATTGGTTAGTAAATTGTAACAAGATTGTTTCTTCATTAGCATAAATGATTTTGGTAGACATAAAATTTTCTTTTCAAATGAATTTATAGAATTCAAAGTAAATTTTGCAGGGAAAAGAAATTGGACAAGGAAATGGAGGACCTTTGGATTGTATTTTGTGGTTGCTCGGACGATAATGTAAAGCTTTGCCGTGCTGATTTTGGGTCAATGACAGATCCTTCATCCTGTATCAATCATATATCGATCATTTGTTTTGATGTTATACTTGTGCTCATCTTCCTATTTACTCTGTTTTATAAGGCATCCCTAAGAGCAACCAAAAATCCTGCTCGCTTTCATGGGTTTTCGCGTTTGCAGTTGATTTCTGCTATTTTTAACGGCTTCCTAGGATTGATATATTTGTCTTTTGGCATTTGGATTTTAGAAGACCAGGAGATGACATTACCTCTGCACTGGTGGTTACTAATCTTGTTTCACGGAATGACATGGTTATTAGTAAGTTTTACCACAAGCCTTGGAGGAAAACATTTTTCAAAAACCCCTCTGAGGCTTTTGTCAGTTCTTTCTTTTATCTTTGCTGGGATTTCTAGCGTTTTATCTTTTTTTGCTGATAAAAGGGCATCAGTGAAGATTGATTTGGATGTATTGTCTTCACTAGGAGCATGTTTATTGTTGTTATGCACCTATAAAGGGCTAAAGCAGGAAGATGTCATTCGAAATGATCTTTATGCTCCCTTAAATAATGCTGTCAATAAAAGTAATTCTGTTAGCTCCGTCACTCCATTTGCTAAGGCTGGAATCTTTAGTAAAATGTCATTTTGGTGGCTGAATCCGCTGATGAAGAAGGGGAAGGAGAAAACTCTCGAGGATGAGGACATACCTGGATTACGTGAGGTAGATTGTGCAGAATCATGTTACTTATTGTTTGAGGAGCTATTGAACAAACAGAAACAAGTTGATCCCTCATCCCAGCCATCAGTTTTGAAGACGATTGTCTTATGTCACCGGAAAGATATTATTGTCTCAGGATTCTTTGCACTGCTGAAAATAACTACTCTTTCAGCAGGTCCTTTGCTTCTCAATGCCTTCATTAAGGTTGCTGAAGGAAATGCAAGTTTCAAAAATGAGGGACTTTTCTTGGCCATTCTGCTCTTTACTTCAAAGATCTTGGAGTCATTGTCACAAAGACAGTGGTACTTCAGGAGCAGATTAATTGGTCTAAAAGTGAGATCTTTACTTACAGCGGCCATATATAGGAAGCAAATTAGATTATCTAATTCAGCCAAGCTGATACACTCCAGTGGTGAGATTATGAACTATGTTACTGTGGATGCTTATCGGATTGGAGAGTTTCCTTTTTGGATGCATCAGACCTGGACAACAAGTGTCCAGCTCTTCTTTGCACTTATAATTCTCTTTTCCACCGTTGGGCTTGCAACTGTTGCATCCTTGGTAGTGATTATACTAACTGTGCTGTGCAATACTCCCCTTGCAAAGTTACAGCACAAGTTCCAGTCCAATTTGATGGTTGCACAAGACGATAGGCTAAAATCTATTTCAGAGGCTCTTGTTAGTATGAAGGTTCTAAGATTATATGCATGGGAAGCCCATTTCAAAAATGTTATCCAGAATTTGAGGCAAGTAGAAGAAAAGTGGTTATCAGCAGTTCAGTTGCGTAGATCATACAATAGCTTCCTTTTTTGGTCATCTCCTGTTTTGGTCTCTGCTGCTACTTTTGGGACTTGTTATTTCCTTGGCATTCAGCTAAGCGCAAGCAACGTTTTTACATTTGTAGCGACTTTGCGCCTTGTTCAGGATCCTGTTAGAACAATTCCGGATGTTATTGGTATGGTAATTCAAGCAAAGGTTGCCTCTGAGAGGATTATCAGGTTCCTTGAGGCATCTGAGCTGGAAATGGCAAATTTGAGACAAAAACACATCAGAAGCAGCGATCATTCTGTACTCATCAAATCAGCTAATCTCTCATGGGAAGAGAATACATCGCGACCAACACTCAGAAATATTAATTTGGAGGTTAAACCGGGTGAGAAGGTTTCTATATGTGGAGAAGTTGGGTCAGGAAAGTCAAATCTTCTGGCAACAATTCTGGGAGAGGTTCCGAGTATACACGGAACAGTAAGTTGTAGTGGCTGGTTCCTTCTTTCCTAGTTGGTTAGGTAATAAGAAGCAGGATTAAAGTTTTCATTTTCAGGCATAATGATCATTTGGTTTATTTCACTCAAAGTTTGAGAAAAATTTAGTGTCTATGGCTGATCCTTAAAACTTTCTATTATCTGCAGGTTCAAGTATATGGAACAACTGCATACGTCTCTCAATCAGCATGGATTCAGACAGGGACAATACGAGAGAATATTTTGTTTGGTTCTCCATTGGATAGCCTGAGGTACCAGCAAACTTTGGACAAGTGTTCACTGTTAAAAGATCTTGAGTTACTACCTTATGGTGATCTCACGGAAATAGGAGAAAGAGGAGTCAATCTTAGCGGTGGACAAAAGCAGAGAATTCAACTTGCTCGTGCACTGTATCATGATGCTGATATATATCTATTGGATGACCCGTTCAGTGCTGTAGATGCACATATCGCTACAAGCCTATTCAATGTGAGCATCGCTTTCTTCAATGATGCGATTCTTATCATTTCTTGCCATTTGCAAGCTCAATTCATCCTTTGCAGGAATACATCATGGAAGCTCTCTCTGGGAAGACTGTCTTACTTGTGACGCATCAAGTTGATTTTCTTCCTGCATTCGATGTGGTTCTGGTTAGCTTTTCTACATGAAGTTCTCTCTCCAATTTGTCTCTTGTCATTGTCTGATATATATTCTGCTTCTGGTGTGTCTCTCCTCTAGTAAAATTAATCTTTTGAAATTGATGTGTATAATGATCATTCTTGTATCTGTTGAATTTGGCAAATCCCACATCGGTGGTTTAGCCATTTGGTAGGGAATATTTCCCTATAAAAGGAGGCCTAACGTTTAGAATTTAAATACACCTCTCATTTGCCTTCTTATCTTCTTAAGGCATTTGTATCTTCTCTCTTTAGAATTATTTCACTTGTATTTTTGGAGTGGAATAAAATATTGGTTGTGTCCGAGGAAGTAGGAAAAATTAGCCGAACCTCGTAAATTCTGGTATTCTTTTTATTGTTACTTTATTGTCTTATTTATTATTTGGTGGTTGTCATAATTTTTGGTATAGTAGTTGTGACACATTCACATTATATACATTTGGCTTCCGCAACAATTGGTATCAGAGCCAGGTTCTGTCTAAGTATGCTCTGTGGTTGCAGCATAGTCTGATCTTCCACATCAGAAAAGATTTATCTTGGTAACTGAGTCAAGGTTCTGTCTGAGTATGCTCTGTAGTTGCAGCTTAGTCTGATCTTCTACATCAGAAAGGAAATAATCTTGATTTGTGTCGTCAGCTATTAAATAATATTTGTGTCAAATATGGGAGACAATAAACAAGAAGAATCTACATCAAGTGTCAACAATACGTCATCATTGGCATCTTCGCTTATGACAAGAATTGTGTCAAATGCGAAATTTGCGGTAGAAATTTTTGACGGGTCCGGACATTTTGGGATGTGGCAAGGCGAGGTTCTAGATGTCCTTTTTCAACAAGGGCTAGATCGTGCCATTGAAGAAAAAAGACCAGATGTTATTGGAGAAGAAGATTGGAGAACTATCAACCGTGTTGCTTGCGGTACCATTCGATCCTACCTTGCTAGAGAGCAGAAATATCCATACACAAAGGAAACTTCTGCAAGTAAATTATGGAAAGCACTGGAGGATAAATTTTTGAAGAAAAACAGTCAAAATAAATTGTACATGAAGAAGAGACTGTTTCGCTTCACCTATGTTCCTGGTACCACAATGAATGAACATATCACCAGTTTCAATAAGTTGGTCACAGATTTGCAAAATATGGATGCAACTTTTGATGATGGTGACTTGGCCTTGATGTTGTTGGGGTCACTTCCTGATGAGTATGAGCACCTTGAAACTACTCTACTCCATGGGAATGACGAAATTTCTCTTAGAGAACTTTGTTCGGCTTTGTACAGTTATGAACAAAGAAAGAGAGAAAAACAAAAGGGCGGAGAAGGAGAAGCACCGATTGTGAAGGGTCATCCTCAAAATCAAATGAGGACAAAGAAGGGAAGATCCAAGTCAAGATCTAGACCCAACAAAGATGAATGTGCTTTTTGTCGAGAAAAGGGACACTGAAAGAAAGACTGTCCGAAGTTGAAGAATAAGGCCAAACATAACAATGGAAAGGCCATTATGGATTCAAATGTAACTGATTGTGATGATTTAGACTTCTCATTAGTTACAACAGAGCCATCAATATCATCAGACATATGGTTGATGGACTCGGTTTGTAGCGATCATATGTGTCCCAACAGGGACTGGTTCG